CCTAAACCCCTAAACCCCGAAGCCTTGGGTCCCTAAACGGAGCCTCTTCACCTGACACTGAGGCCCTTCGCATCACCGCGACCATGGAGGCTCGCTGTCGGTAGGACATAGAAAAAGCCCTAAGCCTTAGGGTTTGGGGTTTAGGGTTTAGGGTTTAGGGTTTAGGGTTTAGGGTTAGGGTCTAAAGGAGGGACCCTTAAAGGGACTTTTGGGGTTACATAGGGGCTTTATGAGACTGTATAAGGGGTATATAAGGGCTTTTTAGGGTATTAGGATTAGGGGTCCCTTATATGGGGTCCCTCCTATTTATTGTCCCTTGATAAGCCCTGAAGCCAAAACGTTAAACCCCAACTCCAACCCCTAACCCTAAGCCCGAAATCCTGAACCCTAGTCTCAAAATCCTGTGAACACACCTGCTGAGGCTATGGAAAGGGCTCCAGGGGAGGCTGGCCGTCTGCACAGCTTGCGGTAGCTCTCCAACCGAAACCCGGGTAAAGTTGGACCTTCGGTTTCCGCAAACTACAGAGCACTAAAGACCTTGTAGAGACTCCAGGTTTGGGTTTAGGGTTTAGGGTTTAGGGTTTAGGGTTTAGGGTGACCTCACCAATTATCCTTCCCATCGGCGCAGACATCAATGGGCAGCGTGGCTGATAGGGCTTAGGGTTGGAGGGCTCATGGCACAGGGAAACAGTTCGAACTTTGGTGTTTATTGGCTTGGCCATGCGGCTCTGTTATTGTAAGGCTGCAGCAAGTTGGATCTTCCAGCACTCTAACTCCAAGGAACCCTAAACCCTAAACGGTTTAGGGTTTAGGGTTTAGGGTTTAGGGTTTAGGGATGGGGTGGATAGCTGATCGCCTGCAGTAGCCTCCACCAAGACTGTACACTTGAGCTGAAACTTGTCTCCTTGGATTTTTAGGATGTGCCTCTACGAAGAAGTCACATCTCGCAAAGACCAGAAACCCATCAAGCACTAATTCCTGAACCCTAAAACTAGGCACCTCCAAGCCAACGCCCCACAAGCCGAAACCACACACACACACACACACAGAGGGGAAAGCCCAGCCGCTGTTCCTACTCCAGGGTATGGATCTTATGACCGTGGACCCTACTGAGCAACAAGTCGGCCGCGAGGGACAGAGAAATTCTGATCAGGATCCATATTGGGTTTAGGGTTTAGGGTTTAGGGGTTTAGGGTTTAGGGTTTAGGGTTTAGGGTTTAGGGTGTTTCTGCAGATAGCAATACCCATAGGCTCCGTTGTGGTTCCCTTTCGGGAGTACCTTATAGGACTCTAAATATAAACCATAACAAGGAACTACAATGGAGCCTATGGGTACTTTGACTGCCCTGAACCCTGAGACGAATTCTAGCCTTGATCGCAAGGCCCAGACTCGTATTTTGGGGTCCCCATAATAAGGATCCTACTATTCAGGGTATCATATTAGGGTCCCGTATTTTCGGAGACTCCCATATGGATCCTGATTTAGAACAGCCTCACATTGTTCCGTTTGCAGAGGCAGGTGTTTGTGCATTTAGGATTTCCGTGCTGTTTTGGATTTCTTCGCGGCTATACCTCAAAAACCCAGATCGTAGTGCAATGAAATACAGTGGAGGTTTCAGCAAATCGACCAGTGCTTGTTCGTTGTGGGCCATCGTTTGCATCAAGCTAAACCGGTAGTCCTAGGCCTTCACGTAAAGGCTGAGTTGGAAAACACTTCGCTTTGTACATGTGTTAGAGGGATGTCCGGTTGCTGCTTCGCTTTGGGACCAAAGATTATTTCAACATAGGTTCGTTCTACACAAGGTCAGGTGTACCACAAACCGCAAAATCACGGCCCAGTAGTCCACGATGTGCAGGCAACCTTTTACCCTGATCACGGAACCCCTAATCATGCGTGCATCCTGCACTATGAGACTGCTCGGGCTCCAGTTTTTATTTCACAACCGCCGAGTCTTACGGTAGGACCTGGTGAACTCTGAACATGAGCTTCATCATTCAAGCTGTCCTTCCTGTAGTTCGCCCATGGCATTCGGTCTACCTGCCTCTGCATGATGGAGGAAGCCACTGGAAGACGATTGTGTTCGTGCTTGCAAAAGGTGTTCCTTCGGCAGTTCTGACTTGCTGTCCGTTGCCGTCCTTGAGTTCTGAAACGGGCTTCACGCACATTTTGGAGGCCCATGCTAGCGCAGAAACACGCATCCGCATTGGCTGTAGATGCCAGTTACTTGGAGGATCATGGGACTTAGTAACTGGGGTTATAAATAAGGCAACTATACTTATAAGTAATTATATCCCCCAATTAAGGTAGTTATAACCTTACTTACTAAGTCCCATGGTCCTCCAAGTAGGCCCTCAATTTCCTGTGTTTCTGCCAGGTTGCAGGTCCTCCAATCTGCTTTACAGAAGGAGTGTTCCCAATGGTGTGTTGTAGAAGCCTGCTCTCAGTTTTAGTATGGTGTGCTGGAAGATCAGCTTTTTGCGTTTGGTTTATGATGTTTTGGCAAGGAGGCCGAAACTATCTTGCCTCCTTACAGGAGCCCTTTTTCTGCCATGTAATCCGAGTCCCCCCCCGAAGCCCTAAACCTTAAGCGCTAATGGACCTGTGCTTTTGGCTCCAGGAGTTTGTGTGATTTGAAGCAGTTGATTTGCCCGTTTGTGCTTCGCCAGACCAGCCGGGCACTGAGAACCGCGCCGGAAATCGGTTTAGGGCTTACCTGCACCCTAAACAACCTACCTTTTCAGGGTTCCTTATTATGACTTCTTTATATAAGTCCTTAAAAAAGGTAGGCTATTTGGGGTCAAGGTAATTAATGTAGGAGCCTGATTAAGAAACCCTGGCCCTCCAAACCCCAATATATTTGGATTCATGTGGGAGTTTCCGAACATAAGGGGTACCTATATAATTTGGGGGTCTTTGTTATAAGGATCCCACTATTTAGGGTACTATATTAGGGTCCTCTATTTTCGGAAGCCCGCATATTAAGAACCCCAATAAAGACCCAGGGTTTCTTAATCAGGTTCCAATATTATGAATCCCTAAACCCTAAACCCGAAAATCCTAAAACCCTAAACCCTAAAACCCTAAACCCTAAACCCGAAAATCCTAAAACCCTAAACCCGAAAATCCTAAAACCCTAAACCCTAAAACCCTAAAACCCTAAACCCTAAGCTCTAAACCCTAAACCCTAAACCCTAAACCCTAAGCCCTCCTGCATTAGGGTTTAGGGTTGGCTGTGGCAGGACTCCTAGGTTCCAAACAAAGGAGCCCTTACGGCCCTGAATAGGGGTTTAGGGTTTAGGGTTTAGGGTTTAGGGTTTAGGGTTTAGGGCCCTGAATAGTGGGTGCCCAGAGGCTCCAATACCCTTTAATTAAGGAACATATCTCCTTAAAGGGATCTATAAGGGTGTAGGGTTTAGGGTTAAGGAATGTACCTTAAATTCTAGTAGGATCCCTAATAAGATTTTGAGGTATATTCCTTAATTAAAGGCTATTGGAGTCTCTGGGTACTTGGGGTATGATAGGGGGTGGTTGGGGGGTCTAGGTAAAGCTGAACTGCTGCACACTAAGCCCTGAACCCCGAACCACAACAAGCTGTAAGCCGTAGCGTAATAGCCCCGTGAACCCTCAAACCTAAACCCAACGCCCGAAGCGGAAGAGTCAGGAAACGACCCGGGGAGGTTTAGGGTTGAGGGTTTGGGGTTTGGGGTTTAAGGTCCTAAACCCCAAACCCTAAACCAGTTCAGGCCATGCTCACTGCTGTGCGATCGTCGCTGCGCACGCTGAGCACTCCGATCGCTCGCCAGGTGGGTTTGGGACTTCGGCTTAGGGCTTTGGGTTTAGGGGTTTAGGGGTTTAGGGTTTAGGGGTTTAGGGTGTAGGGATTTAGGGTTTTGGGGTTTTGGGGTTCAGGGTTTAGGGGTTTAGGGGTTTGGGGGTTTAAGGTTTAGGGTTTAGGGTTGATTAAAGGGTTTAGGGGTTAGGGGTTAGGTTAGGTGTTTAGGGTTTAGGGCTTCACCTTCAATCATCGAGGGACCCTTACTTAATCTGCATGATTCAATGTAAGTCCCGGACATAATATAGGGGCCTTGATAATTAATAGGGTTTTGGGGCCCTTTATACTATAATTATAAGAAGGTGCCCCCAAAATAGTATGGGTAATTAGGCCCCCCATATTAGGGGTATTTGGGCGCTCTGGGTCAGGGTTTTGGACCGTCGGATTGTCGTGTTGAGAACTGGATCTTAGGGTTTGGGCATCTGGTCCTAGGTAGTATTCGGGGGACCCCTTAAAGGGGACCCTTCTCAGGCCTACTTATGGCTCTCTTTAAAAGGGACCTTCTTGAGAGGGTCTCTATCCCCAAAAATTCCCCCGAATCCTAGCTCCGATACGTCCGAAGCCCTAACCACTCAAACCTGGCCCTGAAGGACATCGTGCTAGAAGCCCATCGCAAGCCTCCTAGGGTCTTTTTAGGCGTATTGCATTTCAAAATAACGGAACAACCCGAAGCTTCCGATGGGCTTCTAGCGCATGATACTTCGGGGCAAGGTTTTGGGCGGTTTGGGGGCTTCTTTATGACGCAAGAGGGTCCATATAGACCACTGTTACTGTATGGGGTTCCATCCCCGAAACCATAATAAGGATGGTTGTTGGGACCAAATTCCATAAGTGTAGTGCATATGGACCCTCCGGGATCAGCAGTACCTTCGTCTTTGGGGATCTATGCTTCGAGCAGTTCTTTCGGGCTTCGATCCCGGTTTGGCAAGGGCTTGCTTTGGCTTGCTCTGGCCAGGCCGGGGGCGCGTAGAGTATTGCGAATACATATCCCTAAGGGTCCAAGTGCCCATGATTTAAGGACTTTGGGGCCTTTTTTGGGTCCCTAAAACCATGAATAAGGACTACTTGGACCCTTAGGGTATGTAGAACCATGGAAAGAAAGATACCTAGATCGGTCAATGGATATGCAGCGATATGCACATATGCACAAATATATATATATATATATATATATATATGTGTGTGTGTGTGTGTATATATATATATATATGTATCTATTTGTCTTTATTCATGCCATATATATATATATATATATGTGTGTGTGTGTGTGCATGATGTGCGAAGGTATGGTGTTGCACTGTCTAAGAGAAGGTGTTGTCTTACGAGGGCTTGGTGTTCAGGGTCCAACTGCAGCAAAAGTAGCGCTTTGCTACGAAGGTTGCACAGGGTGTTGTAGAGTTTCGTACGGTTGGGGTGTCAGTGCTACAATTCTGGCCCGACAGAGCACCAACATCCTAAACTTCTACAGGGGTGTGAGGCTTCAACGAAATGACCCCCAAACCCTATTCTAATTATTAAGGCCCCTGTATTATTTCGTTCCAGAGTCTAGGAAGCCTAAACCCGAAACGCTGAGCTTAAAGCCTTGACTTGTACCACATCCGTATAGTGCCGAACCTGTACCCCAGATGCTTAAACTTAAACCCTAAACCCCAAAAGAAATTAGACACGAACGGTTTAGGATTTAGGGTTTAGGGTTTAGGATTTAGGGTTTAGGGTTTAGGATGTATGACGTTTAGGGTTTGGGATTTAGGGTTTAGGGTTTAGGATGTAAAGTTTAGGGTTTAGGATATAGGGTTTATAACACCTAAACTCGAATCCTCAGCCCAGCAGCTTCACCAGGCAGCGGAATGCAGAGAAACAGCGCAATGATCGCTGCCGAGACCCTTGGGCTGGCGACAGCGTACCTGTCAAGGGTGGAGGGTTTACCGTTCCGGAATCACTGTTTGATGCTTAAAGATTTGATATTTATGTCGTTTACGTTCTTTAGTTACAGTTTGATGTTGTGGGGCAGTGCATCTTTTTCCCAAAGGCCCTAAGCGTCTATGTTTCTCTATAGTATTTACCTCTTGGCCGTAAGGTGTGACATATGGGAACCCCTTCGAGGCCCGAAGTACATTTAAGGTACCTGTACCTTTAACGGAAACCGTAGAAGACAATTCAAGCACCCAAAAAGGCTGCTAAGGGTACAAGATAGTTCTATAACAGGGTCCCCTCTAAGGGTGCAAGAGGGCCATCCTTAATGTTTGCTCGACAGGCAAGGTCCTTAACGATGACCCGAGA